TTACAGGTATAAATACAGTTACAGGTATAAATACAGCTACAGGTACATTACAGCTACAGGTACAAATACAGCTACAGGTACATTACAGCTACAGGTACAAATACAGCTACAGGTACATTACAGCTACAGGTACAAATACAGCTACAGGTACAGATACAGATACAGTAAATTTGATAATGAAACACTGTCGAAAAGCGTACACTACTGCCTTAAGGTAAATAGTACATTTCTAATATCAAAATAAACTCTTGCACGGATTCAGTATAATACAGCACAATACACTAGTAAATACAGTATTAATAAGGGATGTATATACAGTAGTGGAATAAGGGAAGAGAGAAAGAGAGAGAGAACGAAGAAGAGGAACAAGAAGGAAAGATGATAGAGAAATAGAGAGGTGGAATGGAATGGAATGGAAGAACAGTGAGAGAGGACAGTGGGTGGAAGGGGAGTCGAACGAGATAAGACAGGAAGAAAAATCGTGAAGAGAAAGAGAGAGTGATTGAGAGGAGGGGGGGGGAGGAAGGAAGAGAGAGAGGAAATGTGTTAGGGTGACGCAAAGAGGTGATGAAGAGGGGGAGGAAAGGGAGAGGATAATTAACGACTTAAACGGAAGAAGGGTCAGAGAGGAGTGATGGACGGGGAAAACCAGAAAAGTTAAAAAGAAAATGGAAGGAATCTAGAGAGAGAGAGAGAGAGAGAGAGAGAGAGAGAGAGGAGTCACAGCACAGTTTGTGTTAGCTCGGAGGTCAGAGAGGCTGGTGTTGGGGGGAAGGGGGCTATATGCTCCTCCCCCTGATACCGTCTGTCATTCCCCCCTCCTCTCTCTCTCTCTCTCACCAGAATTATCAGAGACATGGCACGCTAATTATTACTTTACTTTTGTCTTCCTTGATAATGTTAGGAGTTGTCTCAGTTGCGCCACAGAACTAAAGGCCAAAGAAGTAGTTTTAATTGTCCTAAGAATGCACCATCATCTAGAGTCACTACTTACTGTCCTCTCCTGCTTCACATTGCCTCACGCTGCTTCACATTCCTTCACACTGCCTCACACTCTCTTGTATTGCCTCACAATCACTCATACTCAATAACATTTACTCTTCATTGTCTAATACTGCCTCACAAACACTGCCTCACAAACACTGCCTCACTATCCTGTACTGCCTCACACTGCCTCACAAACACTGCCTCACTATCCTGTACTGCCTCACACTGCCTCACAAACACTGCCTCACAAACACGCCTCCTCACACTGCTCACAAACACTGCTCACCATCCTGTACTGCCTCACACTGCTTTCACAAACATTGCCTCACAAACACTGGGCCTCACACTGCCTCACAAACACTGGCCTCAATTATCCTGTACTGCCCCCACACTGCCTCACAAACACCGCCTCACTATCCTGTACTGCCTCACACTGCCCCACAAACACTGCCTCACAAACACTGCCTCACACTGCTCCTGCCACAAACACTGCCTCACTATCCTGTACTGGCTCACACTGCCCCCACACTGCCCCCACAAACACTGCCTCACAAACATTGGGCCTCACAAACACTGCCCACAAACACACCACAAACACTGCTGCCTCACAAACACTGCCTCACAAACACTGCCCTGGCCACCGCCTCACACAAACATTGCCTCACAAACACTGCCCCACACTGCCTCACCATCCCAGGTACTGCCCTCACACTGCCTCACACTGGCTCCCCACAAACACTGCCTCGACAAACACTGCCTCACTATCTCTGTACTGCCTCATTAACTGCCTTGCAGCAAACACTGGCCTCACTCCATCCTGTACTGCCTCACACTGCCTCACACAAACATTATTCCCCACAAACACTGCCTCACACTGCCTCACAAACACTGGGCTCACTATCCTGTACTGCCTCACAAACATTGCCTCATAAACACTTCCTCACACTGCCTCACAAACACTGCCTCACAAACACTGCCTCACAAACATTGCCTCACAAACACTGCCTCACAAACACGTAAGATTATGTACAGGTATCACAGGTAGCTAATTGGGTCTCACTTATAAGAGCGACACTATGATGGCGGCCAATATGTCACCCAAACTACACAGAGACTCTACCCTTATGTAGGAGGAAAATTATTTGAGAATATGTTACAATATTATGTTATTTTTGTTTTGTTTAGTAAAAGAGAGAGAGAGAGAGAGAGAGAGAGAGAGAGAGAGAGAGAGAGAGAGAGAGAGAGAGAGACCATTACCAGACTTAAGGGGGCGGGTGTGGTGACGTCCATCTGAGAGGGGTGTTAATGAAGGGGTTATGTGAAGGTACTACCTCAGGGGGTGTGTGTGTCTGTCGTCTACCTCTCAGGGGGACAGGAAATGCTCAGTGACATACAAAATGCTCCTGGCTCATGTCTCGTAACTCTCCGTAGGGCAAGTTGTGTTCCGTAGGGCTTTATAGGGGGGGGGGGAGGGGGTGTTCCGTAGGCTGGATAAGTTTCATAAATTTTAGTTTCATTCCTTTTTAAAGTTTATTAGTTTGTACATTAGATTATATTACTGTTTCTTTCATGTATCTCTAATTATCATTCTCTCTCTCTCTCTCTCTCTCTCTCTCTCTCACACATATCTGATTGTCTAGGTTCTCTTTCAACCTTATCTGCGACTACACTGTCCTGCTTGTGGGGATACGCTTACAATTTAACGAATAGACCTGTGTGTGTGTGTGTGTGTGTGTGTGTGTGTGTGTGTGTGTGTGTGTGTGTGTGTGTGCAGGCAGTCTTGGGGATGAGGTTGTATTGGTTGATGGGGTCGTGATGTGTGACTTATCTGCGAGGAGATAAATTCTTCATCTCTACTATCTCCTGTGGCGTTGTGAAGTTGTCTCGTTTGTATCAGAGAGAGAGAGAGAGAGAGAGAAAGAGAGAGAGAGAGAAAGAGAGAGAAAGAGAGAGAGAATTAAGAAATAGCCTAATTTGTTTACATATCCGAGTGTCCGGCAAAAGAGTGCAGTCAGTGTGTGTAGTGAGGGAGCAGGAGAGGGGGGGTGAGTGTAATAAGGAGTAGTGTGAGGGAGTAAGTGTGTGAGGGGAGTAAGTTTAGTGAGGGTAGTGTGAGGGAGCAAGTGTAGTGAGGGTAGTGTGAGGGAGTACTGTGAGGGACGTATTAGGGAATGGGGGGAGGGTTAGGTGGAGGCTGATGATGACCACATTCCATCCATGCTGAGTGATCTAGCTCACCACCACATTGTTATCTTCCCATGTCTCCCTCCCCTCCCTCTCTCTCTCTCTCTCCCACCCCCTTCCCTCCCACAGTATCGTCCTCTCTCCCTCCCTCCCTCCCACATTATCACCCTCTCTCCCACAGTGCCTCCTTCCCTCCCACAGTATATCTCTCTCCCTCTCTCCCACAGTGATCCCTCCCTCCCACAGTATATCTCTCTCCCTCTCTCCCACAGTGATCCCTCCCACCCATCTCGCCTAGAGATGACACAGAGATAACCGGTCGTTGCTGTTCTACGAATTTGTCTCTCATTAACTCTTTTAAAAGCCCACTGCCATGAAGACCTCGACCTGTTGATGTCTCTTTCTCACGTAACACACACACACACACACACACACACACACACACACACAGTCTATCTCTACTCTGAAGTTTATCCAAGTTTGTATTGTGTTTTGCTATTTATCTACTGCCATTCATCTTCCCCATTTTCCTTTTCGTCCATTAATATATGATTAGATAAAAAGTTAAGATAAGTTGAAGTTAAGTTAAGTTAAGTTGAGTGTGTGTGTGTGTGTGTGTGTGTGTGTGTGTGTTAATCAAGAGTTCTAACACTTTCTTGACCTTTTCTTTGTGATGTTTTGAATTAATTGCTTTGTGTGTAAATGAAGGGCGTTAAGACATTTTAAACTAAAGAACGTCATTATAATTTTCAGTTAAATGCTGCAATAATATTCAATAAACTGTTTCAACTTAATTTTCAAAGACACAAACCAACTCCGCTAACTAAATACTAAAGCTTAACTAAAAATAAAAATAAATACTTTTTTATTTGTGCTGACTTCAACCAAATATTACAATTATGATGTCGATAGTAATATAATTTTAGCCTAGTAGTCTCTGTTTACACACATTCGTTAAAAGACATAATGAAATGAGACGTAATCTACTGGTTCCCCTTGTAAGACTTAGTAGTTTATTATGTTTGGTAGTAAGTGCCTTGTGTAAATATTGCATCCCACTCACTCCCTCTGTCTGTCAAGTGAGTAAGTGGAAAGATATTCCTGTGTGGGTAATACTATATTTGCTGGTGTACCTCATACTCCACTCCAACACATCTATCTGTTCACACTTCATACCCTAGCGTGTGTCCATTCCCATCCACAGCATCTATACAAAGTGGCCTTCTCCTTACCGAGCACCAGTAATACAGTGATAGTTTTATTGGGTAAATATTACATTAGTTGAGATAGTTATTATATTGTGGTATAATAATCAGTAAGCACAATAGTATGGTGTTGGAATGTATATTTTCTTCAGTTTCTGTTAGTTCTAAGAGTCTAGTTACTCAGCCGTGTTGTTTTTTTGGTGTCACCTGCTGAAAAAGACTCGGTTAAACATCATGTTGTTTAGAATATAATTAACCCAGACACGATAAAACATGGACCTAAATCGTACTATACTATACCGAAATTTACCTTATTATTACCTACTCAAGACTGTACTCTTCCAGTGGGTCACACATATTGCTCACCCTCATGTTGTGTGTGTGTGTGTGTGTGTGTGTGTGTGTGTGTGTGTGTGTGTGTGTGTGTGTGTGTGTGTGTGTGTGTGTGTGTGTGTGTGTGTGTGTGTGTGTGTGTGTGTGTGTGTGTGTGTGTGTGTGTGTGTGTGTGTGTGTGTGTGTGTGTGTGTGTGTGTGTGTGTGTGTGTGTGTGTGTGTGTGTGTGTGCGCTTCCTGTCACCTGTTGTTGTTTACATCTATTCTGACTGTATTGTGTTTACCTTGCAGACCACAAACTCAAGGGCGTGGACCCCAACCCACGCCTGAGCCTGGTAGAGGAGCGTAACCGGCGCCGACCACTGCCAGACCCGCTACTACACCCAGACGTGGTCCTCAGACAGGGGGAGGGGTGAGTACTGTACTGCTTACCTGGTCAAACTAAAGAGATGTACACCCACGAAAAAATTATTCGTCGTGATACAACATGACACGGGCGCTGAATAATTTTTTACTGGCTATAACTTTCTTATTTTTATTCGCTGATGACTGGCATGTTTATTAACTTATAATTCGTGCTTAAAGACCTTAGTTGTTATAACATCAACGACATATACTGTACCTGGGCGTTTGGACCTTAATAAAGAATATATAAGAAATAAGTACAGGACATGGTAAGGTAGATAATATATAAAAGCAATATAGGATAAAGAAGACACTGATATAATAGAGTAATAAAGTATTAAGAAGAAAGATGATAGCAGACAGAATGGAGGATAGACTTTAGGAAACGTTCACGAGCTTAAAAACGGCAGTAAAAGATTGACATTACTAGTTGGGTAAAGGCTATAGATGGAGAGATGACCCAGGGTAATGACAGTAAGCATATGGCATGAGCAGGAGTACGTATACCTGAGCTGTGTACTTAAGCATGTAGAGGGGCTGAGCTGACGGGATTCAAACCTTTGGTGCGGTGGACGGTGGATCTCTCACGCACATTATGGTACGACGTAATACTGTCATCTTTACGTCACCCGAGAAGAAGGGACATTAATTCTTCTTCTTCTTCGCTTCTACTTCTCTTGCTTCATCTCTTTTCTTTGCTTCTTTCTTCTTCTTTACATCTTTCCTCTTCTCTTTCTTCTTTCTTTTTTTTTACCTCCTTTTATTTCTTCTTCTGTTGTCTTCTTGCAAAAACTTGACAATTAATCGACGGTTCTTCAATTCTCAGCCAATTAATGTTAAACTTGGCCGGCTTTTACCTTTATTCAATAAGTCTGTTAATTAATATATTTTTCATTTCGTCATTTTCAGTTATTTTATGAAGTCTTATGTCAAACAGCCGAAAGGAAAAGCTGTTTTGAACTGAATAAGTTGTAATGCTCGTTATTTTGACTATTTTCATCCTTTTTAAGTCATACAAGAACCAATTTGTTGTTATTTTTATATTTGTATGTTCATTTATTTATATATTTGTTACTTAATAGCTAATGATACCAGATTTCTGCAGTTGACGCCATCAAGTAATGAATGGGATTACAGTAGCGGAATAAAGGTGATAACTGCATATTTATTTTATTTTATTTTTACTTTTTTTTCTTGGTAATTAACTTACGTATATGTGACCATAAATTTTGAAGTTTTTTTAAGAGAATCGTACACGAAGTCGAAGAATACCACCCAAGACTCTTCTGTAGTCACGATCTGTACCCCGCCTCCAGACTCGGCACTCTCCTTGACCTTTACACGGTAAACTTTGGCCATGAATATTTTGTTACCTCTGGCATTTGAAGAGTTAGGGTAGACGTCACGCCACTCCATTCCAGAGATATATAGACTTAGTGTAGATACGTAGCTGTGGAGTACTATATATATTTGTGCTTTTTGTATTATTTGGAGGTGAATGCTGATGATAATGGTGGGTGGACAGACATGACAGGGAAGGGGGGTGGATAGAAGGAGATAGACAAAAATAGAATGATGAAGGGAGGGAAGGATAGTTGGAGGAAGAGAATAAACAAAAAAGATGGGTGAAGGGGAAAGGATAGGAGAGAATAGACAAAAAAGAAGGATGAGGGGAAGTAAGGATAGATAGAGGGATAGAAGCGACAAAAAGAGAAGGAATGGATGAAGGGAGAGAAAGATACAGTAAGATAAACAGACAAAGAAGGATGAGAAAAAGAGGGAGAGAAAGATAAAAGTCATGACCACAGAAATTTTACGCAAACGGTTAGAATTCTCTCATAGTCTCACTCTCTCGCATAAAGTTAATAGTGTCGTTACTCCCCAGACAACAATGAAATGGCCAATTGCCTCCGGGTTATGAGGATAAAGCCTTCAATTATTGGGAATATCCTTAAACGGTAAAAGCCCCGGTTATAGTCAATCAAGATTTCAATTATTACGAATATCATCGAACCCACCAGTGTGACCAAACATCGTCACAACCTGCTACTCCCTAATGTACACAACTGCATGGGAGGAGTTTGTAATTTATTCAAGTGATTAGATTAATTAAGGTGCCAATGAGAGAGAGAGAGAACACACGAAAGATCTAATCATATTAATTATTGTTGTTGTTTACTGTGTTGATATTATTCTGGCTCAAAGAACTTTCATTTTTAATTCAAATCTAAAGGATAAGACAGACGTTCAAACATTCATTTCAATATTGTTAACCAAAAGATAACGTCTGTATTTATTCTCATTTACCTTTGTGTTTAGTGAAGGTGAGATGTCTAAGTGAGTGTGTTTGAGGGACTGAGTGAGTGCGTGTGTTTGAGGGTACTAATGAGTGAGTGTGTGTGTTTGAGGGTACATGTGAATGAGTGTGTTTGAGGGTACTAATGAGTGAGTGTGTGTGTGTTTGAGGGACCATATAAAGAGAAGGGTGAGTGTGTTTGAAGGGCTATATGAGTGCGTGATTGAGTGTTCATGAGATAGCTGAATATGACGCTTCTCCACAGATGAGCATTAGCAGATAAGTGTGTTAACAGTTCATGAATAATAACAAGGCTGGTAGAGTACATACAAGGGGGAGTTTGTTGTGGCTCGCCTTGATGTTATATGGAGCCATCTGAGCACAGTCCTAGTTATTCCTGAGAGAGAGAGAGAGAGAGATGTAGAAAAATAGAAATGTAGAAGGAGAGAAAGAGAGAGATGTAGAGGGAGAGAAAGTAAGATAGAAAGAAATAGAAAATAACATCGAAAAGAAGAGATTGAAAGAAACGAAGATTATAAAATATTGACAAAGGAGAAAGAACGAAAAGAGACACATTGCAGGTGTCCTTAAAGTTATTCTCTGACCTGCTCTTGATATCTTCCAGGTATGCCAAGGGTATGTCCTGGCCATAGTCAAGACGGGGGCGCTGGGACTTCACTTGTATACAATTACTTCAAAGAAATCCGGGAACCAGACAGGAAATTCTTGAAAGATTGATCAAGTACAAAGTGTTCCAGAGAATTTGGTCTCTCTCTCTCTCTCTCTCTCTCTCTCTCTCTCTCTCTCTCTGGCGGTCATGAATGTGTTAGGTCACAGTTCTGTTTGTTGGGGTCAAAAGCGTTTTGGGTCATTATCCACGGGGTCATGGACAAGGGATGGAGGTCACGGTTAAGTGCGGCCAGAGATGTATGTGTGTGTGTGGGGGGGGTGGGGTGGTAAAGCGCAGTTTATGGAGTGTATCAGCTCAGGAGGAGGAGGAGGAAAAGGTCATATATTTATGGGGTCACAGGTAGAAGAGGTCACAGATCAGTTCAGGGTCATCGAAAAAGAATGCCAAGATTGTTTTACATTACTACATTCAGTATCTGGGCATTCTATTTCGATGTTCCTGACCCCCCCCCCCACTGTTGGTGTGTGAGATCGTAAAATAACACAGAAGCGACGAAGGCTAAAGATGTTTGTGTTGGTAAGGTCATGGGCGTGGTGATGACCTCAGGGCTTGGTAGTGGTCAAGTGTCAGGGGCTTTGGCGAGCAACAAGAGAGACTGACTGCGAACCCCTTGTGCTGGAGACTCCATTAGTGGTGGTTGAGAGGTGAAGGAGGAGGTGGAGAAATATGTGGTGGTACTTGGGAGGTGGATGTGGTGGTGGTGGAGGAGTGGTGGTGTTGGTGCTGGTTGAGAGATGGTGGTGCAGGTGAAGGAGGAGGAGGAGGAGGGGTGCTGTTGGAGGAGGAGATGGTAGCGTTGGTGGTGCTGTTGGAGGAGGAGATGGTGGCGTTGGTGGTGCTGTTGGAGGAGGAGATGGTGGCGTTGGCGGTGCTGTTGGAGGAGAGATGGTGGCGTTGGCGGTGCTGTTGGAGGAGAGATGGTGGCGTTGGCGGTGCTGTTGGAGGAGGAGATGGTAGCGTTGGTGGTGCTGTTGGAGGAGGAGGAGGTAGTTGTTTGGAGGTGGAGAAGGTGGTGGAGGATGAAGTTGGTGCTGGTTGAGAGGTGGTGGAGGTAGAAGACAGGACCTGAAACGTGACTGTATAGGAGTAGAATACAGCTTTAGGTGTGTGTGTGTGTGTGTGTGTGTGTGTGTGTGTGTGTGTGTGTGTGTGTGTGTGTGAGTGTGTGTGTGTGTGTGTTCTTGCTCACGTGCGAGTGTATGTTTATTCGCGGGCATTTATTAATCGACTTTTAAAGCTATGAAAATAAACTTCTCTTAATCTACGAAGTTTATTTATATTTTTATGTATTCAAATTAACACGTGGGTTTATATATATATACCAGATTAACCGCTTCAAGGTCAGGTGTTTCAAAGGAGTCAGGTGTTTCCAAGGAGTCAGGTGTTTAAGGAGTCCGTTGTTTCCAGGCTTTTCTTCTTTTTTGGGACCACATAAACGACCTCCTGACCCTTGTACCTGGCCTCTTCAAACCCCACCCTTCCCCCCCTCCTCCACCCTTCCCCCCTCCCCTCCACCTTCCCCTCTTCCTTCCCCTCCACCCTTCACCAATGGAAGATAAGTGGAGGTGTTCATGTGTTCATATATGTTCAAGTCATAAGACCTCCCTCCCTCTTTCCCTCCCTCCCTCCCTCCCTCCCATATAAGTCAGGTGTGTTCAAATATATTTAAACTGCGTGAAGAAACTCTCCCTCCTCCCTTATCCTACTTTTCTTCCTCCCCAGTCATCCCCCAAGTCCTCCTCCTCTCCAGTTCTCCTTTCCTCCTTCTCTTAATCCCCAACCCCCCCCTCTTCTCCTCCCCAGCTCCCCACCCCTCTTCTCCACCTCCGCACCCCCTCCACCGCTCTCCTCCACTTCCCCTTCCCCAACCCACCTCTCCACCTCCCCCAGCCCACCTCTCCCACCTCCCCCCAGCCCACCTCTCCCCCTCCCCCAGCCCACCTCTCCACCCTCCCCCCAGCCCACCTCTCCACCCCCCCCCCCCTCCTCCTCAACCGTCCTCTCCTCCCCACACGCCTTC